ATTGTGTCTCAGGTGAAGCTGGAATATGGCACTACCATAATCAACATACATGGCGTTATAAGCGTGCGTATCTTGGTCTATATATTTGCAACCTGTGTGTTTCATGTGTTTATTTTTGTTTAGATCGTTAATCATTTCACCACACCAATCAGTGTGCATCGGCGCAGAAAGACTGATAACAGCATAATCCTCGTGGGCTACGCGAATCCTAATGAAGTTTTTAATTTACCGTTGCACGCCATCTATGCAGATTACAAAGATCTATACTTTGCGATTAAGGGGTACAGAACGTCAGTTCAGGGTTTCGTATGGAATGCATATCCCTCGGATGAAAACTATTCGCATCAAGTGCAATGCGATCCCATCGATGCCTTTGAGCCGCTCAACATTAATGTCAGACGGAAAAAGCACGAGATTTACTTTGAGAACACCTCAAAGTATCGGCTACTGAGCGCATATTATACGATTCACCTACGTCCGCCACTTTATCTCCTCAATTCCCTGCCCATTGACATTAAAGTCTCTGTGGCTGGTTGCCTGGGTCGCCAAAGTACCCCAGTTCAGCCAGTACGCGGTTCAGGTCAGCTTCCAGGAGCAGAGCGCTTTCAAAAGGAGGACTTCCTTGACTATGGCGAGAAGGAGGTCAATCCCGGACACGTGCTGCATTTGCCGACAGTGCGTATGTTTGAGAAGGGCAAGGAATCAAAAAGTGTGCTTGTGGTGCGCGTAAGTATTGGCCAATGAACCCCTTGTCAACTAATAGTGAAGCCAGCTAAAAATAATATTATATGTTTGCTTACAGTTATTACAATATCTTGAGAAGGATTGGTCATATGCCACTGAAATTTGCAATGGCGATAGTGGGATATCCATTTGGACATTTGCATCTTACGATTCTGAGTTTAAAATGGAAATGGATCTCTATGTGCGGTAATTTAATTATTGTGCTTTTAGTTTAATTACATAATTTAAACCATATTTCAATATTAAATTTGAATTTTATACGACAGCGCTAATAATCGGCATGGAAGCATTGTGTTGACCCTGTACAGCCCCTACTGGATGATCAACAAGACGGGCATGATGCTCACCTACAAAACGGACTTCTCGTCTGTGGAGGTGTTGTATCATCCGCCCGAGTATTCCGGTCCCATACTTTTTACCTTCCGCGATAAGCTATTCTTTGACAAGAAGAAGGCCTCCATACGCGTCGACAGCGGCGAGTGGAGTGAGAAAATACCGCTGGATGTAGCTGGTTCAATTGGTGGCGTCACCTGTAATGCTAACGATCAGAGCTATCAAATTGGCGTACACAACCATTTGACGCACAACTCGCTGACCAAGCAGATAACGTTCATACCCTTCTATATAGTGCATAACAAGTGCAAGTACACGATCGAATTGCAGGAGCTTAAACGTCCTGGCGATCCTTGGCTAATACTGAGACCCCAGGAGTATAAGCCGCTCTGGCCCAAAAACGACTCCACACACAAGCTAATTGTGCGCGTGGGCAATCAAACAACGCCTGCCTTTGACTACACCGAGGTGACGTGCACGTTGCTCAAGCTGCACGACAGCCGCTATGGCGGCGTCAATGTGGATGTGCAGACCACTGAGGGTGGTATTTATCTAACCTTCACCGAATACCAGCCATCCGAGGCGCCTGGCTTGATAATCAATCACACCACCAAGGATATTGTCTACTATGAAAAGAACACAAAAATCGAGAATATTTTAAGAGCTAAACATAGCGTTCTGTACGCCTGGGGTGATCCAACGGGGCCCAAGCTGTTAATCTTTGGCAAGGACAAGCAGGAAACCGATCTGAAACGCGATCAAATCGATAATGTGGTGTAAGTATTGAGTGCAAATAGAAGACAACTGCTATATTTAATATATTCTCTACACAGCTTACAGGACGGCAGCAAGGCCTATTGGGTGTCCTTCCTGTACGGAATGCAGCGGGTGCTGCTCTTCACCGAAGTCGAAGCGATTGCCAAGCGCACTGAGAGCACCGCTGCCCTGCAAAATATCACTCGTAGCATAGACCTGCATATACACGGCATCGGCTTCTCTTTGGTTAACAATGAGATTGGTGTGGCTATACTCTATTTGGGCGTTACCAGTTCGGGCATTATATGGGAGTCCAGAAAACCAAATAAGAAACGCTACAAGGAACTGACCATACATGAGTCAGAGCTTATTGAGGCCGAATATCAGCGCTATCTGGTGCATAAGGCAGTCAAGGATGTGCAGACCTATGTATTGGATAACAAATTTCCGGTATGTGCAACAACTTTCTATATATATATATGGTCACATGATCCATGCTTTCTTGTAGATCAACTTTGGCACAATGACGCTTGTCAAGCACGTGGAGCGGCGTTTGCGTCGCAACTTTTATCCAGCCATTTGGGTGTCAATGAAATCATCACCGTTCCAAAATCAATTGCATGTGAAAATTAATCGCATACAGGTGGACAATCAGTTCCTTGATCCCATATTCCCAGTGGTATTGGCGCCCATAGCACCGCCCAAGAGCGTGGCCACAACCACAACAATGAAGCCCTTCATTGAATGCAGCATGGTGCAGCGCATAATACCCAATTCGGAGGTCAAGCAATATAAGTACGCGACCATATTGATACAGGAGTTCCACTTTAAGGTGGATATAGTCTTTCTAACGGCCATTGCTGAGATGTTCGCCTCCGAGGTGACCGATGAACATGCAGCCAAATTGTTCCGCAGCGACGTGGACTCCATTGAGCTGCCGCTTTCTACATTCTTTGAGCAACATTCGCAACAGGAGCAAAAGAATTTCTATGATAACTTGCATTTGAGTCCACTGAAGATACATGTTAGCTTCTCCATGGCTGGCTCCGATACCAAAGCGCTGCCTGGTTTCCTGGGCAGGCTGGTCCAGGGTGTGGGCGTAACGCTTACGGATGTTAACGATGTCGTCTTCCGTTTAGCCTTCTTCGAGCGCGAATATCAGTTCTTCACACAACATCAGCTCGTTAGCGAGGTCACCTCACATTATACGGGCCAGGCGCTAAAGCAACTCTATGTGCTGGCTCTGGGTCTCGATGTGCTGGGCAATCCCTATGGCCTGGTGGTCGGTCTTAAGAAGGGTGTCGAAGATTTGTTCTACGAACCGTTCCAGGTTGGCTATAAAAATAATACAATATTTGGTTCGTCTTATACTCCTCTACTCTTCTTTCCAGGGTGCCATCCAAGGTCCAGGTGAATTCGCAGAGGGTCTGGTGCTGGGTGTCAAGTCTCTCTTTGGTCACACCGTGGGTGGCGCTGCTGGCGCCATGTCCAAGTAATTCTTAGCTTTAGTATCCATTAGATTCTTGGGTTTAATTATTTGTGCTCTTTAACTAGAATCACTGGCGCCATGGGCAAGGGTCTGGCCGCCTTAACCTTCGATGATGACTATCAACGCAAACGACGCCAGGGAATGCATAACAAGCCAAAGAATTTCCATGAAGGCCTGGCGCGAAGCGGCAAGGGTCTGGTCATGGTGAGTTTCAGCAAATCCACGATTAAAAAAATGTCCAAGTAACTCATTTATTGTTCCCGCAGGGTTTTGTGGATGGCGTGACTGGAGTGGTTACCAAGCCCGTCCATGGCGCACGCGAGGAGGGCGCCCAAGGCTTCTTCAAGGGTCTGGGCAAGGGCGCCATTGGCCTGGTAGCACGCCCAACCGCTGGCGTGGTTGATTTCGCCAGCGGCAGCTTTGAAGCAGTCAAACGCGCAACCGTCGGCAGCGAGGATGCCAAACGTTTGCGTCCGGCGCGCTTCCTGCATTACGATAATGTCCTGCGTCCCTATTGCTACAGCGAGGCGCTGGGCAACAAGATGCTCAAGTAGGTTTCTATGACACGCAAACACTTAACACAAATAAGGCATGCATAGTTCCATAAAAAGCTGCATAAAGTAGACATTTTAGTAGAACATCCTTTTGATAGTAAACAAGTAGAGTTACGAGAATTCATCTTTTGGTTTTTTTAAAATTATAAATTGTCGAAATTTAATACGAGTATGTAGCGCCAATTTTAAAATTCGGATCTTCTTCTTTAATTTTAACCGTTCAATTGATATTATTGGTAATAAAATGCCTTGTAGATAACAGATATCAGATAACTCATAGCATTGCATATCAGAACCCAGTGTTGTGTACCGCGAACGGAGTGTATTTTCCAACCCTATCTTTGTAGATCTACAGTTAAGAACTAAGCGAAGGTTGGAGATTAATTTTAGTACATTTTGTAGGTCTACTTCATATAGCTTTGCCGGAAATTTGAAGAATCACAAATAAATGTATATATTAATGCTTATCACTTTGTTGCAGGGAGCTGGATAAGGGCAAATATGCAAGCACCGACACCTTTATACACTGTGAGGAGATTGTACAAAAACTAGAGTATCTGATAATCACCAATCATCGCATGCTCTACACACAACGAAACGATATGTTTGGCGTTTGGGTGGTAAGTGGACCCTCGGTTTAATGCCAATCGGGCAAATTATTCATGTATTCTCATTTGTTTATAGTCCTTGTGGTCGTATCAGTGGGATGAAGTTGAATCGATTGAGGCCACTCAACGCGGCATACAATTCAGGGTGAAACGGAATGAGGGCAAACGCGTCCTGGGTCTGTTCGCATCGAAGGAATCGCCACAGAAGCTGGTGTTAGTGCCCGATGAGCGCAAACGCTTAGCTCTGCTGGACGTAATGGAATCTCATCAAGAGAATAACACCAATATGCGTGTACCCACTTCACGATATACGTCTCGTGCGACTACGTAAATCTAATATAATATAATCTCGCTTTGATAAAACCCAGTGTAAAGCTAGCTCAACAGCATGTCAGAAACTACCTCTACATTTCAAGCTGTTGTGCGGCTAAAACACATACTCAAACACACACACTTACGCACACACACAAACGCGCGCCCCACTTCCCCCCCACACTCATATACATTTGCAGTATGTATATTAGCAATTTATGTTTTGATATTAAAATTTTATGTCAATGTTGAAGATAAACATGAAAATGTGCGTGCGCGTGTTTTTGTCGCTAGCCTTAATTAAATATATATATAGATAGATGTGTATAAGTGCTATATATGCATGTATGATCCAGCTGCGGGACTCCTGGTACACCCCACAGCTACACCTTTTTGAGAAAGCTGCTGGGTGTCGTGGCCAACGGCATGATGGGCTCGTAGTTGTTGCAGTTGTCGCTCTCGCAAAAGGAGGTGAGCGAGGCCAATGCATTGGCAGCCAATGCCTCCACGCTGAACATGGTGGACAGGTGACCGCTGCTCTCGAACTGATTGATGATCATGTTCACCTTGCTCTTGGATTCGGACTTGAGGCAGGGAGATGTGGGATTGCTGCTCGGCTGTTGTTCGTTAGGCGCTCCATCGTAGCTGCTGCTGCTGCCATCGCAGAGATCGACTCCATTGAGCAGATTCTCCTTTTCGCTCTGCTTGCACTTGGCATTTGATGGTGTGCTGGTGGTGGGATTGCTGGTAGCGTTGGCCGTCGAGCGTGTGCTCGGGCCCTGACTGGACTTGTTGAGCCGACTGAGGAACCAATTGCGCGCCAGCTTGTCACAGTCCTTGCCGGGCGTCTTCTGTGGACTCGTTTGGGGTGTCTGCGATTTGCGCTGTTTCTTCTGCTCCTTGAGTGTAACTGGACTGTTGCCCAATGTGGGATTGGTGAGCGAGAGCATTTCGGGTTCATTGTTGCCGCATGAGTAGGTCTTCTTGACGGCCTTCTTCAGACGCTCCGGACTCGTCAGCTGACTAGAGAGCTCGCTGTGTACCGTTTTCACCTTGGCTTGAAAGTCCATAGCCAAGCTGCCATGCAGGCTGGAAGGTTGCGGCTGTGCCTTTAGCTCAGCAGCAGCAATAGCACCTCCATTGAGCAGCTCAGCGGTTTCCACCTCGCCGCCGGCCGATCCTTCATCGTCCATGACCAGCGGCTGTGGTGGACACTTTGGTATGTCATATTCGAAACGTTTGGCCAGCGCGCTCGGACTGTTGCACTTCTCGGGCAGACGCGGGGGCGTCGTTACCGTCTCACCAAAGTTATATATGGGCGATGGCTCCTCGTAGATGCTGTCGTTGTTTGTTCCTGTTCCCGTTCCCGTTGTTGCTGATGTGGCTGTGGGCGTGTAGCTGTTTCTCTTCATGACCGGCGGCGTGGGCAGCTTGCGCAACGTTTTCAGCGTCGCCTGGGCAATGGCATCACCCCGGATGGCCGCCTCAATGGCATGTATCCACTCTTTGGCATCGACCTCGTTGTTCGCCTGATACACAAACTTCTTGCCGGGATCAGCTGTTGTGATTTGAAAGCAAACCTCACGACGTTTACCCTCACCAAAGTGCTCGATCTCAATGGCCGAACTCTTCAGGTAGAGACTGCTGCTGGGCCGGCAGGAGGTCGGACCATCCGCATAGCAGAGCATCCAATCGTTCAGTATGCCGCAATAATATTTCTTGCTCTGATCAAAGAACAGGCGCTTCTCGATCCGATGCAATTGGCCGTATTTGATGGAACGCTGCAGCGCCAAGTGACCAGCCGGCAGATCCGCATAGGGGCAATTGATGAACAGCTCGTGTGCAAAGACCTGTTGGGTCTCCTCCTCCTCGCCGGGCGCATGGCAAACATCGTACAGCTGCTGCGGCTGCGACTGCTCCAGTTCCGACTGCTGGATTTTATCACTGTTCAGCGATGGATTGCTGCTTATATCGATGTACTCCCGCGAGGCGGACACTGCAATTAAAGTCAATTACTGTCTGCTGCTCCAAGATAACTACATAAACATATAGGCCTTGCCAGGCACTGGGCACTTACATGAGTTCCTCGACGAGCTTGTCGTTGCTGCTGCCGATGATGCTGCTGCTGCTGCTGCTTGGTCTGTGGAGGACAACATTGCCAGATAGCAACCGGTCTCAGCGCCCACTTTGCCCTCCACAGAGTCGCTGCTGCCATTCAATTTAATGGAGCTGGTTGCTGGTGATGCTGTTGTTGTTGTTGCTATTGTTGCTGTTGTTGGTTTTGTTGCCGCCTGCTCGTCTGCAATGCTGGCCAGCAGCTGGTCGCAGCGCTGGAGCAGCTCCTGCGTTTGCTCGGCGGCTGTGACATGAAACAAATTCGAGGTGTTCTCATACTCGGATGTTGCCAGCGAGGCTCGAAAGTGCGCACGCACATCTGCCAAGAAGAAGACGGATAAGAAGAAGGAGAAGCATAAGCGTTATACAAAATTAGTTGAGCTGCAATACTAATGGCTAAATATGGACAACTATTGGCCATTAAATTGAACTTAATGATACGGCGCAGCAATTTCCATAAATGCCCAGCAAGACAGAGCAGGGCGGGGCCGGGCTGGCCAGGGCGGGGCAACTGCAGCTTGGGCAGGGCGTGGAGCTGGGAACTGACTCATGCGAAGCTTGAGTCTTCTAAAATAAGTGTATATTCAAGTCGCCAGCTACTTATGACCTCATAAAAAGCCTCGCAAGAGTCAACTGCGAATTGACCGCGGCAATTAAAAGCAATTTCACTCAACAGTCCAGTTTCCAGTTTCGCTCCCCCGCCCGCTGCCCCATCTGCCGCTGCTTAAGTAGGTTTAACGGTAAAGATGAACACACAAAAAAAAAACAAGTAAAATAAAAAACAAAAAAAATAATGCCAATGAAGTTTGCAAGAAATCTTGTTAAAATTGAAACACGCAAAGCGCTGTCCAGACAAAACGTAATTAGTCTAAAGAAGCAAAACCGAAAACTTCGCCGAACTGCAAATACGCTACTTCGTTTGTTATTAATATAAAAACCAAAAGGAAAGTGAATCAGCGAAATGTACTTATTCTCAAGAGGCTTACGTACTCCAGAGTTTGCGCACAAGATTTATTTTCATTTTTAAAACTTAACCAGAATTTACATATTTTGTATGTTTAGAAACAGGCATAAAATGAAACTGAAGTCGGCAAAGGCCAGCCTTGATAGGCATCAAATATTTCCAGTCAGAAATATGAGTTTGATTTAAAAAAAAAATTTTAGGCGATTTATAGCAATTTGTTAAATTATCGAGGAAGGGAAACCAAGGTATCTTTTGAGAAAAGTCATGTGTCAAAATGTTCCTTGTAAGTTTTATTAAATGAAAAGATATAAAAAAAGGGAATTTTACAAATATTTGTAGAAAACAAAAAAGCAAAAATAATGTACAATATTGACTTGGCTTGCACTGTATAGATCACATTTATAGCTTATATATATACCAAAAGTAAGCTGTTGCATATGGACTCATTGAATCGATATACCCTGCCAACTGGCATTGAAGCTCACAGGCTTGAATTGCGGCGCGTTAAGAGAAGGGCTTTAAACAAGCGCTTTGGGCATAGTTTGGCGGCCCAATATATATATATATTTATTATATATACAGACAAACAAATGTGCAACAAAGCGGCGAAAAAGTGGCCAAAAGACAAGCACCGAAAAATGGTTTCAATAAAATATACACAACATAAACACGAGAACGAACAGAACAAAGCGCATTAAACTCAGCCAAGTTAAGAGTTATTTTAGCCACAAACTCAGCTTGTCAGCTCCAGATATCGAGTCGGTCGGGCATGAGTCAATAAATATGTGTATATATTGTGTCTGGGGTTATTAATGTTTCTGTACAAGAAAATTATATGCCCGCAGGGCAGAGAGCAGCAACAGCATGAATTTGTATAAGCAATCATTTTTGTACGAAATTTTGCTCAAACTTGGGCTTAATTAACAATGCCTTCAAAAATTATCCAGATATACATATAAGTATGTAATTTAATTTCAGTCTAGCTGTGCGCATAATTGTTTAATGATGTTGGTTTTTTCTTTATACCCTGCAAATATAATACGACTATGAAATGGGCATAATTAACTTGTGCACAGCGACATCTTTAAGCCCATAAAGTACCGGGTTGGCTTAGATGTATGTCCATTTGTTTGTAAGCATCTATTACATCAAGTATTTATATATTTACATTTATGTATCTCATATATTTCATAAATGTATCTCTCTATTTTACTTGGAGATATTTGAAATATGGAAAAGCTAGGCACATCAAATATTCCTTAAGCATGTTTTTAGGCCATAAACTTTTATAATTGATGCCAAAACTGCTCTTTAATGACAGTTTGGCACATGAATTGAAACACATCTCAGGCAAACTTTATTCCCAAGACAACTTAAGCACTTAAGAGCTGCTTACAGAGTATTCGCAAGTCGCGCACAACCAGCGAGCGCACTCTCATTTGCCTTATTTTTGTTATACCCTCAACCCATTCAAAATGGTTGACAAGGGTATATTGTATTTGTGCAAAATGCAAATGTATGTAACGGGCAGAGGGAAGCATCTCCGACCCTATAGAGTGTATATATTCTTGATCAGCACCAATAGCCGAGTCGATCTAGCCATGTCCGTCTGTCCCTCCGTCCGTATGTATGAACGCAAGGATCTCAGAACCTATAAGAGCTAGAGACTTTAGATGTAGGTGCTTTTAGTGCCTGCGCAGATCGAGTTTGTTTCCGATAATCGATAACGTGCCCCGAGTAATTTTCAAGTAATCGATAAAAATCGATATCGACATCCTGTTTTTGGGCAATTTTGGTAAATAATAAGAGCTAGAGTCACCAAACTTGACTTGTAGCTTCTAGAATAGTATATATATTTGCATTTGATGTTGGAAGAAGAGGGTTCAGGGAATCCCCTAGTCGGGAGCTCCCGACTAGAACCTCTTACTTGTTTCATATAGTTAATGATTACAGTTTAGTTGATTGTTTTTTATTTTTATTTATCTAGTTGCTGTTGACTTACCCAACAGAAATTGTTCAATTTCGGCGCGTTTAGAGGCTTTTAAGTCCATATCCATGATACAAAGCGTTAATTCGAAGCGTTCAGTGTTAATGTTTGTTTATATGGCTTTTTGTAGATCGTTTGATTTATTTGCTGTTGTTTTTGCTGTCACTGACAATATTTTCGTTAACAATTAACAGTTGAGTGTCAAAATAAAGTAGCACATTCTATTAAATCACATGCACCCGAAGCACTCTAGAAACAAGTGCAGTAGATAAGTAAATATTATTTATGAAATTGGCGAACATTTACAACTCTCAGTTTGTCTCGAAAACTCTGCTGCTCTTCTCTTGCCCGAAAAGTGAACGAAATAAATAGAAAGAAAAAGAAAAAAAAAACACACATGAAAATATATTTGTCCTGGTCGAATAACTCTCCCGCAGCGCAGCCAAAACGAAACCAGACCGAAATCAATCCGCGCCAGGGTCTGTTTAAACTGGCAATACGATGTTGGATTATTAATAGATGGAATATTCGTTTATTCCAAGAGCTGCCTCGAAATACAATACTAGAACGTATTGTGCTCGATTCTAGCTTCAAATAATACCCCGTAAAGCAGCCAAAGGGCTCACTCTGCATATGTACGAGATTCATTTGCAAGACAATGGCAGCTGTACGCTATATTTGGTATCTGCTGTACTTATGCCAATTGACTCTTAATGGAAATTCATTAGGTTCAATGACATTAGCCATTTATGCTAATGAGATCTGAAAACATGTACTTCCTCTTCGACTGTCCTTAAGCTGATTCGAGAACTATTTCTTAAAGTTGTCACAAGTTTAGAAGTTGCTTCTCTTTAAAGTATACCCTATAATTGTTTTAGCTAACAATCAAAACTTTAATCATGATGAACTTCAATTAAGATTTAGAAAGATTTTGATTTGTCGTTTCTGGCATTCTTTAATGGGTATCTGAAGGATTTATATGCCCGTTTTGTCGTATTTTATTGTCTGTTTTGTTGTTGTTGTTGTTGTTTTTTATTTGGTTGCACGCTTCGTTTGGCGCTTGTGGAAAATCAACGCAGCCGGCGGCGGCGGCGCTGATGACGTTATGTTTTCATCTTTTTTGTTTTTGTTCATCACACACTCTATGAAAATGCACACACACACACAAGTATTTGTGTATGTGCATGTATGTGTGCATATGCATATGTGTGTGTCATTAAATGTTATTACGAAATGGCTTTGGGGCCGATTTTCATAATGCGATACTTGCTTTATGCAGCGCCGTTTTGCACTTGCTAGGCGCGAGGGGGCGGAAGGGGGGGGGGGGGGGGGGGTTGAAATTTCAGTATGTGTGCGTGTGCGTGTGCGTGTGCGCGTATGTGTGTGTCAGCCTCTGAGCCGCACAGACATTTCTGTCGGTGCGTCTGTTTCGTCTTTATTTTGCGGTTTATTTGTTTGTTTGTGTCGCTTTTGTGGCTAAACTAGGGATAGATTATACACACACACACACACACACACACGCGCACACACAGCTGGAGCTAGTGAGTGCTGCTACTTAGCAAGCGGGAGCAATGTTTTATGCGCCTGAAGCTGGACCCGAGCTCTTGCCCAGCCTTTTGATACTGACTCATCCAGAAAGGCGACGCGTGTCGTTGGCCATAAAAGAAAGAAATTTATATTCATATACATACACATATCTATGTATGTATGTGTAAAGTGCCATACATGCAAGCGAAAATAAAAAGCTAAACATTTCTCGGCGGGCGCTGGGCAACCGTTCTTATTAGAACTTTTACTTTTTTATGGCACGTGAAAGGTGCAAAATGGTAATTCGCAATGCTGCAGCCGTAAACGGTTTTTATTTTCATCAAAGGGTCTATAATAAAATGGCAGCAATAAACAAAAGTGTCTATTGATAATTAACACTTGTTGTTCGATATATTGAATTTCTGTTTATTGCACTTTGATCAGCTCTGCCGCAGGTATTTTCAATCTAAATATTTGATTAAAGTTTTGTTGGCGTTCGTTACGAACGGCATTTCAAATTGTTTATGGCCAAAGCGCAGGCGTGTCTGCTGTCGGGGCTTTCAGTGCATTTCCGGTCATTTTGAAATGCCAACAGCATTTCCTGCGCCGCTGAGCCCAGAGTCAGAGTATAACTTTGCCATTCGATTTGGTTCTTTTTTATTTCTTTGATTTCTTTGATTTATGCTTTTAATTTTGCATCCGGTTTTTCACTTTATTCTTTGTCACTGCGCCTTTGTTTTTACCCATACACTTTGCGCTCGCTGTTTGCGTTAACGTCGACGTCGACGTTGACACCTTTTCTGCTTAAGCTCGCCAACAGCTTTTCTGTAACAGCGCTCTCCGTAGAACCAATGCAAACGCAGACGCAGTCGCACTCGCTTTTCATTGCGAATACGTTGTGTGCGAGAGGGAGAGAGAGAGATAGCGTGAGAGCTTTGCGCGCCGTATGCGATTTGAAGCGCGTCTTTGTGTGCGCGGCCGTGAATCACACGAACGCAACTGACTGACAGCAGCGCAGCCAGAGACTAGAACGGCCGCTGTCTGTTGGCTTCCTCATGTTCGTGGGGGAGCCGAAGCCGCAAACGCATGCACGAAGCCAAACAGGCACACACGAAGTTCATGTGGCCTGCGCTCTTCTTGTTGTTGTTGCACACTTTCTTTGCAGAACGTAAAGTTTTTATGCTCTTTACCCGTTTAAACTAAGTAATAGAGTTGGTAATGAGGCTGTGAAAGTAAATGTTACAGACAGCAGCCGGCCTGTTTAACCCTATTAATTCTACATATGTATGTAAGTATATATATTCCTGCTCAGCATTTACAGCCCAATCGCAAGTCGTATAAGAGCGAGAAATTTCATATGTTACACAAATGTTTAAAGCTGCAGAACAGGGTATCTCGTAGTAGAGTAGCAACAATGTCTGTCTGTTTCATAAGTTGCTAAAAATGTGAATTTAAATGCACGTTTTTTGCTATACAATTTGAGCACCGTTGCCGTCTTCACCAATTTTGGCAAAATAATAAAAAAACAGGCTCGCCAACTCGAAAGAAACCAAAACACAGAAACCAGAAATCTTCTAATGTGCGCACTCAGCAAGAAAGTGGATGCCAAAAAGAGGCCCAAGGTAGCAGATGTTGTTGCTGCTGCTGCTGCTGCAGGGGCAAGTTAGAAATCTGAGCCTTGTTTAAGAGCCAATCTCAGGATGTGCATGCGTGTGCTCTGTCTTTTTGGCGGCAGATAAGCACAAAACAACACACAGCCACAGATACAGATTGAGATACAAATACATAGCCAGATGAAGTCGCGGTAGTCTGTTGCCTTTTGGGGCCTGGCCTGAAGGACGTGCTGCACAGCCAACAACTCAATTTTAATTAAATATTGCGCCATGCTTGATATAAATTAAGAATTCTGCCGGAACCTGGATAACCTTGGTACCTTGGGCGTGTGGGGAGCCGGCCAGTGCGTGACTATGTGTGTGCGTGCACTGGGCTCAAAAGCAGGGCCAACAACAGGTTCCCAGCTTGCGTTTATCGGGCCAAGAGACAAGACTCTGATTCCCCAGCAGCAGCAGCAGGTTGCAACAATCAATGCTGCTGATTCATGCCACAATGGCTGCTCTTATTTAGACGTATTTTGCTAACGCTTAATTATGCGCCATAATACAGGTCTTTTCATTCAAACAAAACAACAATTTGCTTTAATTTTGTGCGAACTTTTACTTGAGCAGCGCTTGCAGGCGATTCTGTTGCGTTTTATTGGCGTTTTGCGACGCGTGCGTTTTTAACTGCGCTGCCAGCTGCAGCAGCGCGTTTTGCTTTTGTGTCTTCGATTGCATTTTTTGCGGATTGCTGACGGCGGGCGTTGGCGCTGCTTTCGATTTCTTCTTCTGTTTGTTGCTTTGGCCCGTCGTCGTCGTCGTCGTTGTTGTTGTTGTTGCTTTTTTTGCTGCCGTTGTTGTTGTGGGCGCTCTCGGCGCCTTTTGTTTTTGTTGGACTTGGGCTGTTGGCATTGGAATCTTCAGCCCAGCACTGACGTCTTTATTTGTGTGCTTCTTTTTTCGCTTGCCCGTTGCGGGCGCTGCAGCTGTTGTTGTTGTTGTTGCTGATGCTGCCGCTGTTGCCATTGTTTCAACTCGTTCGGATTTAGCGCGTTTCTTGGGCTTTTCCAGCGGCAACATGGTTTTGTGCCCGCAAAACCCGCAGTCCACAGCCTGCAAAACGAATTGTTGTTTCAAAAAAAAGTGACATAAGCTGAAAACAAAGGATTTGCAGCCACTTACCACATGGCTGGCCATGCGCTTCTTCAGCCAATTGGCGCGCTTTCTGGCCCCGGTGCTCAGCATGCCCCGCTGCTGTTTGGCCTTGACCGCGTCCAGCTGGGCGATCAGCCTACGTCGTTTGGCATTGTCCAGCAAACGCTGCGGCCGCAAGTGCAGTTCATAGTTGCCGTCGCACCATTGATTGCCGCAACGGGCGCACATGCGAGCCGGGCCCACGCTGTCCTCGGGCAGTTGGACATTATGCCGGGCCAGCTTGCGGCTGACATTGCTGATAAAAATGAGAAACACCAGATAACTAAGGTAATAGTTGTTTTGAAGGGCGTTGCGAGACTTACATGTAGTATGATTTGAGCAGGCGCTCGGCGTGTGTTTGCGTGCTTAACTCCTTGGCGCAGCTCCACAGCAGGTTAACTCTATTTTGTTCTTCCATTTCTGGAAATAAATGTAGCTATTTTGTGGCTAAAACAGGCAGCACTGACAGCAACTCACGTTGCGGGGCACACATAAGCGACACATGAATTGCAGGCAATTCACAGCGAACCTGTATGTATTATACATTTCTATAGTTACCTGTATATGTTTATTTATGTAATTATCATTGACTGTTCATTTAAACAGTTTTTTATTTAACTGCCCACAGCTTGTCGCGTTTGTTTTGGTGCTGCCACTATGATATTGCCACCTGAAAAACATCGAACCCACTTGCCGCTCAATTAATATTCAGTTATCGATAGCTGCTAAAAATGTTATGTTAGAATCCTGTTAAGTGTTAACACTTGCTGTAATCAATAGGCAGCTGGTAAATTCAAAATTAGAGCGCATTCACTTCATTTCTAGCAAAAACTATGCCAGCTGGTACATATGCGCATAATTTTAAATGAAATTTAGTAAATATAGTTATTGCGTCATTGAGTGCTGCTGTAAATAGGAAAACAGCAAAATGTTAAAATACAGAATGTTAAATTAACAGAAGCCGTAACAGACGCAGATCGATAGCTGCTGTCCTTAGGCGCTATGGCAACTCTAACGATAACACGGGCATACCGACGCTTGCGCATTTAAAATTTCAACGTCGCGAACGAGCGAAAAAAGAAGCGTCGCGCACAATTTCGAATGACGTGCATCCATGAAAAGATACTAAATAATCGTTTTAAAAGTGTATTCGACTAAATAGCAGCCAGCTAAAATACAAATAAAACACGAGTGCAAGTGAAACTGAATAAATTAAACGTAAGTGCGCGCGCAATTTGCATTTTCACAAGCATTTGCAGCAACAACAACAATGGATCCCTTTACTCAGGTACAAAGAGTAACATAGCAAACAATGAAAATCATTGTCTAACTGCATTTGATGTGCAATTTGTAATTTGCAGCGCATGCTCGAGAAGGCCGAACAGCGCAGTCGCGCACTCGGCATAACAAATGCCAGCAAATTTCCACTGGCGGAATGCACTCTAACAACGGAGACGGAGGCGTCGGCGGTCAGCAAAGCGACGCCAGCAGCGTCCGCGACAGCCTCAGCGTCAACTGGCAGCAGCGGCGGAAACGCCGGCAAAGTTGTTATCTTGGAGAAGGCAACGCTGGCGGCATCGCCCACAAAGCCGCTGCGCCACTATGCGGCGGTAAACAAGGAGAACATGGAAATGGGCATCGAGATAAACATAACCACCGCCCAGCCAATTGGGGTAAGTTTTGAACGCATTTGCCTTTCGCTTTGTTCGGTGGTGTTTTTCGGTTGTTGTCTGTTGCCTTTGTCTCTGCATTTGCTACATCTGTGTGCGTGCGTGTGTGTGTGTGTGTGTGTGTGTTTGTGTGTGCTTTGTATTTTTCGCGCGCTGTCGCCACGTTTAGGTACAAGTTGAGATACAGGAGCAGGATATGACCAGCAGTGACGAGGACGATGAGCAAAGAGCTGCTCTAATCTCGAATTCTGGAGATGGTGCCGATGCTGCGGAGGCGCCTGTCAATCAGCCCCTGGCCCGACTGCGTGACACGTCGCGCAGCCGTCTGCAGCGCATGGGCGCACTGTACTCCAATACGGACGATCTGTCGTCGCCCATACATCGCACCGAGGCGCAGTTTCATGCCGGCGACGATGATGACCGGCCGCTGTCGGCGCGTAGTCCGCGCAGGGGCAAACAACGCTTTGGCAAGCTGGCAGCGTTGGCGGACACAATTAACCAATGGGAAGACGATACCGCACATCATGAAGTGCATCGACCGCTACTGGAAGCCGTGCCGCCGCCCAAGCCAGACTTGCCCAGTCGCCCAGTGCCGGAGCCGAGAGCCAAAGCGGATGTTGTGGATGCGAGCAACAAAACCAAACAATTGAAGTGGGATCCCAAGGTATTGAGCTCATTGGAGGCGCAGGGCTTTCAGCGACGCGATTCGTCCACGATTAAACATACCTATGATTACGCCAAACAGGAAGAAGCGTCAAGTGCAACAACCGCAGCTGCCACAGCCAAGCCGCCCGTGCCGGAGAAATCAACGACGGTCAGTAAAGTAGCCAAGACCTTTGGCGCCGTGGCGCCTGCGCCTGCACCCGCAGCCTCCAAGCCCGCAGCAGTCGCCGCCACCAGTGTCAAATCCGGCTTGGTCTCTGGTCGCGCCGCAATTTTCGAGAATAAGGCCAACGGCGGCGGGTCTCAGTCCCAGGCAGCACAGCGCAACCAAAAAGATCCCTGCGAGTTGTCGCTGAAGGAGCGCATGAAACTTTTTGAGACTGGCAATTCAAAGGCCATGCTGCCCAAGGCGCCCATAGGCACAGCGCCTAGCATCAGCCAGATTAGGGCAGACGAGCCCAAGGGTAAGGCTTTTGCTGCAGCGCTTGCCACAACAGCCATAACTAATTTTCTGCCCTTACAGCTCACAGTGCGCCAGTGCATCCGATTACAGCAGGCGCTCAGAGCGCAGTCAAGCCGCAGCCCAAGCCCGAGAGCAAGCTGCGCGACAAAGTGGCCGCCTTGGTGGCTTCTGCTCAAAGCAGCGCTGAGAATCGCATTAAGGACATTGATCGACAGCGCCAGGAGGACATGCAAATCATAGCCAATCGGTTTAACAAGCAAAAGGACCTCCTTACGCCGCAGACAACGACTGCGGCAGCACAGCCAGCGCCTGTGCCAGCGCCACCCGTGGCCAGCAAAGTGGTGCGCCCAATGCCGCCGCCACCACCGCCGCCCATGGAAAATGCTAGCAGTAAGCGACGCTCACGTAAGTAGCTGCCACAATCAATGGAATTCAAATTCCAACCTTTCGTATTTACAGCTGGCGATGTCCTTGACGAAGAGTCGAAGCGCGCACGCACATCGCATGCGGATCGCCTGTATCCCGCTCTGTCCGATCTTGACTCCAGCGGCGACAACTGCTGCGCCACGGCTACCGCCTCGCTTAACGATGACACCGAGGAGGAGCTAGAAAGGTGCGCTGACAAATGCTATTCTTGCCTGCTCTTTCTGCTCTGCATTGAGTAGATACCTCCACCCGCTAGAGACTGACCTTAGACCTTAGACGCATAGCTTTAAAACTAGACAAGGCCAATAAATGTGTGAATAGCTGCTTAAATCTAATCTCTTTTAATTTGTAGTTGCATGGATGAGTCCTTGGAGGAGGAGGAGGATCAGTCGCAGACTGAGGACAGCAGCGCGGGTATGTGCAACGGCAGTCTGGGCCGTGAGATATTGCACACGGTGCAACGCAACGAGGCCGAGCTGCAACAGCAGCAGCAACAACAACAACAACAACTGGGAAAAAAGGTGAGTTGCAGGTAACAAAATCTATGCACAGCGGGTGGTTAAAATGTGTAATGTTTCACAGGTACGCTATGCCGAGCAGGATCATTATTACAGTCACGACGGTGATAGCTCTATGAATTCCTCACAAATCTCTGCGGGCATTGATGATTATTTGGACGAGGCACTGGTGGGTGACTATGGCAGCACACAGGAGGACGACAGCGAGGACGAGCACAATGCCAGTCATCTATCGCTGGGCGTGAGTACTGCGAGCCCCGATAAACTGTTGAAACTATTTACTATATGACTTTTACATCCACAGAGCAAAGGCACGACCGCCTCCAATAGTTTCTCTTTTCGCAAAACACCAGCTGCTGGCGCCGCCGGCTCTACTGCCTGTCAGACCATACAGGAGCAGCACGAGGCGATGGATGTGCAAACGCCGCTGATGAATGGTGCTCAACCCGTCAAGTCCGAGCTGAGCGTTAATCAGGACAACGATAACTTGGTCACGCTGGTGCACACCGTCAGCTTCTATCGTCGCCAGCAAAGTGCCAGTGTAAGTTTTAAATGTGAAGCCGCTTAGCAATAATCTTAATCTCAATTCCTGTATTTAATAGAACTCTAATTCGACGCCCGTGCGCAAAATATGTCGCGAGCAGCAGGTCATGCGCTCGGCGCTCACCGGCGATTGCCATGCCAAGCACAAGCTGGAGTATGATTCACCACAGCATGGCGAGACGTCTGCCGCGACTGCAACCAGCAACGATGACTGCAGCGAGGATGATGAAGAGCAGCACAATGCGCGCGAGTTGAATGAGTCAGCACAGGCGCAGGACAAGATCAAGAAGCTGCTCAGTGAGGTCTGCAAGCAGCAGCAGGTAATAGGCCAGGCCAGCCAGGCGCTTAATCTGTGCGCTGCCACCGTGGAATTTTCCGGCTCCACTGAATCCGTTGAGGGCGAACGCTATTTACTGCTAGCAAGTAGGTGGAAATTGGCATATGAATTATTTTACTATTTATTTTATCAAACACTTAATCGTGCAGCTCATCGTCGTCAGGCCTGCTTGGATGAGGTGCAGCGGCTGCGCGTGGAGAACAGTGTGCGTCCCGTGGGCGCACCCAAGGAGAAGGGCTTGCTGACCGTCAAGGATATTACCATACCGCTGAGACAGGAGTACGTGCGTAAAATGGCAACGGGCAACATAAATGGCCATCATTTGGTCTGCCTGCTCAAGTACAATGAGCACGTGCTGGCCACCAAGACGGTGCCCACAATGCCAGGCCTGCTCTCAGTCAAATTTCCCGATGTGCTGCAGCTGAACAATGTCTATGCTGATTTTCGGGTAAGTTTCAGCTTGGGCGAGTCTCATTCGGCTGCGGTGTTAAATACCCTATCACAATTGCAGGTTACCCTGGAGATTTATGGCATGCTGGCGCAGCGCGATCAGCTGCCACACGAGCTCAAGTATCACATTAATCTGAACAAGAAGGGCGGCATTAAGACGCCCAAAAAGAAGGGCGGCGAAAATCGTTTGGTCATGCCCCCAGTACAGAGTCCAGCCGGGCCGCATGTGGTGCGCACACCGCAGCTGGTGCAATATGGCTTTGCCATCTTCTCCCTGCGTGAGATTCAGCGCACCAGCTGGACGCTGACGCAAGTGCTGGGCGTGAGTCCGCTCGATGGCACTGTCCATATGAAAGTCAATTGCGAGCTGTCCGTGAGTGTGGAGTACAAGGGTTTCCTGACCATGTTCGAGGATATATCCGGTTTCGGTGCCTGGCATCGTCGCTGGTGCTATCTAAATGGCTCCGTGCTCAACTACTGGAAGTATCCGGATGATGAAAAGAAAAAGGCGCCCATGGGCAGCATTGATTTAAATGCGTGCAGCTCACATAAGGTCAGCACAGCGCCGCGTGACATTTGCGCGCGCTTGAACACCATGCTGCTGGAGTGCGAACGTCCGGCCCTGGATACCGATCAGGAGTCGTTGGTTATAGTGCCCAATGGGCGGATGACAACTGTGCGGCATCTGCTGTCCGCCGATACCAAGGAGGAGCGCGAGGAGTGGTCCGCCTATCTAAACAAGGCGCTGACCCTGCTGCGCGCCTGGGGCACAACGCATTGATAAGTGGACTGGGAGCAGCAGCAGCAGCAACACATCTGGGGGCGGGGATTTCCTGAAAGTTTTTTATGTTTTATGTTTTTAATATTTAGTTGATTTTTATTTTTCTTATATTTTTTTTGCTTCTATTGCGTTGCTAGCTGTTTTCCATTTAAATGATAACCGCGTAAATGTATTTTAAATTCAAGCAAATAATGTATATGTTCATGTTCAGCGTCAAAGTATTGTTGAGATACCCGTTTAATATATATATTATGTACTAACTTTAAGCTCGTCTGACAAAAATTATAATGTAAAACGACAAAACCCAAGTGAAAATCGTTTTGTTTTTGCCCCCAACAAGAATGGTTACCATTTGCTCTATACACGGTTTAAGTTTTATTGAATACTTTTTCCACTATACACATATACATATATTTATATATATTTTCATTTTGAATGAAATAACTTTTGACTATGTGTGTGTGTGTGTGTGAGTGTGTGTGGATACCGTTAGGCATATCATATGTTTTCTTTGTCTTCAACGCGCAACTTTTCTGCTTTTCTTTGTGTACTGAATTCTGTTCAAATTGTTTTTCTTTAGGTGGTTGTTGTTGTTGTAGGTTGTATATAAGTAGTAACAGCTTTTATGTCAGGTAGTCTCTGGTGTCTGAGAATTGACTCTAGTTTAGTGAGCTACACGATTGGCTATATAGATATATATATATTATAGTATAATACTGGCAATTGGCCATAAAGCTATCTACAAAATTGAATACAATTTATGTACCGCAGCTTAAAAGTGTGCTAATTTATATGTATTTACCTGCATTTGATGTTAGTTAATTCAACTATGTCACAACAATGATACGTATTATAAACGTATCATCATATATATCGTGTATATATTTTGGATTTGACTTTAAATTGTAAATACTTCAAAATCAACGTTAACACATCTCAGATATGATTGCAAGTGTTCAAATGCATAGTGTGTGTGTGTCTGTGTGTGTGTGTGTCTGTGTGTATGTGTGTGTGTGTGTGTGTGTGTGTGGGTGTAGGTGTGCGTGTATTTGTAAAGGTGTGTTTGTTTATATATGTACATAATGTAACAGTTTATTTGGCTAGTTCTGAAATTCTCTAGAAATATGTACACAGCGGAACTTTTGTGGAATTTTGGTGTGGATTTTCTTTGTAGCCTTTGACTACAATTTCAACTATTTATTTCTGGAACCCTTTTTGAAAGTGTGCACAAAGCGTCCAACTGTTTTCCCCCCGTTGCTGACTGATGCCCTACAATGCTAATGGGAAGTACAGTCGCACTTCTCTATAACGAATGCTTCTTTAACACATATTTTTTTAAATCTCTCTCTATATAAAGCTTTCCCACAGTCGCATCTATAACTCTGAAGCTCAGCTAGCCTTTTCCTCAAGCATATGGCATATGACAGCTCGGGTTTTAGTCCAATCTCTTAACCAGGTTTCCAAGGATTGTATCCCAAACCAAAACTGAATCTCTTATGCTGTGCTGCCTGGAGCACATATGTGCATATATATATTTGTGATTCCCCTAAATATGTTGTTTGAAACAAAAGATTTCCACAATAATTTGCATTTTCAATTTTGGTTAAATTTTGTAAAGCCCAGTTTTGTGTCTAGTTTATTTGCCAGTTCATTATAGGGCAGCTTGACTGTATTAACTGCTTTGTATATGCAAAATTTCATATGAGACACTCATCAAATTGGCCTAAAAATGCGCATGGAACCAGGTTAGATTGAAAAAATAAAGTAGAATACGCATTGAGCTCTTTTTAACATTGGCTATAGAAACACATATTATATATGTATATATATCTGATTGGCTAGAATACTGGAGGATTATGGAATATGCCTGCAATATGGGGCTTAAACAAATTTCAACTACTTTAACGTACATATTTGTAACAAGTGTGTGTTTTTATATATTTTAGGAATAGGATATAATTATTTGTTGTTGTTGTTGTTGTTGTCGCAAAAGAACAGAGATAAAGCTAAATTTTGCTCGACAAGTCTTTTGGAATTGCAATTATTCAAATATACAACTTACTTATGCTAAAAATCTAAAAACAATTTATTTGGCCAATATATAAAATTGAAAAAATAATTGCCTAAGCTAAACGCGTGTGTATTTATATGTGTATATGTATATGTGTGTGTGTGTGTGTGTGCAATTTTTAATAAACAATCCAACACACGATTCACTTAAAGCTACAACAGGAAACATAAGTATAACAAACAAATGCAATAAATAAAAAACAATCTAAAAACGATATGCATTAAAAATACAACTATCCAAATTCTTAAACGCGACCCAGGTGTGCGTGTGTGTGGGTGTGTGTGTGTGTATTTACTTATTCTTCTCTTTTCTTATCTATCATTTTTTTTGGATAATTTACGGATTGACAGCTGCAGCGCTGGGCGCCACCTGGGCGTTCTGCCGCCTCAAATCGGATCTGGTGGCCGCCGTGATGGCCGTGCCCACGATCAGCATCAGGGCCATGGCCACGTTGGCGGGCACATCCCCGTACGAGTAGAAGAGCTCCGAGTAGAAGAGCGTAAAGCAAATGCCGAACGTTTGCGCCGAGGCGTTCAGCAGGCCGGACGAGGTGCCCTCCGGCTCGGGGAACGTTAGCTCGGCGCCAAATTCAAAGCCCACCGGCAAATAGCCAGTCATAAAAAAGCTGCACCGGAACGTTACGGTTAAGAGCTGTAATTGTTAACTATATGGCCAGCCAGGCAGGACTTACCCCAGCAGCGAGGCTGTCAGATAAACCACCGCAATGTGTCCGGTGTCCAGCGTGAACGTGAATATCCACATGCCCACCATGGAAAGGGCATAGACCGCCAGCGTTGTCTCCCTGCAACAGCGAAACGAGTAGAGTAGAGTAGTTGGCATGGTCGGTGTGAATACGGTACTTCGATATTTTTGTTATACCATAAACCTAACTTCGAATCGGATTATCTAGACATAGACTAATCGGGACTGAACATGGATCGTACTATAGCTAAAACTAGAAAGTAGGCTTTGCCTTAAGGGTTTGCAGCGATATGATATAATTATCCGATCCGGCAAAGTTTCAAGACCATAGACAGATCTTGAATATATATACTTAATCGGAGATGTCTAACTTCTAAGCGGAACCTAAATGAAAGAAGTTAATTTATGTGGAGAAACGAAGCAACTATCCATAAAAATGCCAATAATTAGCTGATTACGATAAAGAGAACTATGTAGGAGACTCAAAATTTAAATATAGAGTATATTCAAGTCTTGAATACTTTTTTGCTGTGCCCGCTGCCTTGGGTATATAGAGAGTGCTTGAAAAGATTCCTAACTTCTTGTGGCAACAAGTTGTGTGTGTGGCGCACGCGGCGTATGCGTAATGAGATTAATTGCTTTGGACTTACTTGAATTTGTGCGTCTTGTCTAGGACTATGCCAGAGACAACGGAGCCCAGCATGCCAGCCAGCACAATGCTCAGACCAATGCGACCTGTGTCGACCTCATGACCTGGATAATACTTGAGCACCACCTGCGGCGGGAGAAGGAGAAAGAGAACAAACCAAAGTTAGTCAAGGTTAGTTTTGTGCGTTCGTGTTAGGCGATGGCCACTGTACCGGATTGAGCAGCGTGGAGATGGCATAGAATACGCCCACATTGATGCCATAGGAGAGCAGCAAGAATATGAAATTGCGATTGGTCATCAGATTCTTCAGCGATTGCAGGAAGCTGACCTGCTCCTCGACCATGCCCTCCAGGCGCTGTGACTCCTCCTGTGCCGCAGACGGCGGCGTCGGCGGCCGATCCTGGAAGACTGCAAAAAGCCAAAGCCAATTGATTTAATGGCAAAGAGTTGCTGCTGCCAGCGCTTACATATGGCCATCAGGACGAGCAGTATGCTGGTCAGCCCGGCCACCAGGTAGAACATCATCTGCAGATCGCTGCCCACCTGGTTGATGTCCTCGGAGTTCGGCACCAGCATCGGCGGCAGCACAAAGCCAACGGCCACGCCCAGCTGTAAGAGTGCATTTTTAAACGTTTTTATTTGTTGTTTATTTTTCTTTGGCAAACTTGGTTCAAAACAAAGCATCCGTTTCCGCAGCAGCAGCAACAGAAATATCCTTCGTCTCGTTTTATTTATGCTCGCTTGATTTATGTGTCCTGCCACATGCCACAAGGATTTCACAGTTGCTGCTGCTGCATTTTTGTTTTCGTCAATGTTTGCGCGGCCATTTCAGGCCAAATAAAATTTCAGGACTAAAAAAAAAAGGAAAATTCCTGCCGGCCAGCTGCTGCGGCAAAACTTGTCTCATGTTATTTTTCGCTAGTTTTTCAGTTGTGGCACACTTTTTTATGTTCCGTGTTTCTGCATTCTTGTTTTTTTGTATACCCTGTACTTTTAACAGTCAGCAGAAAAAGCAGTGCATTTAACAATAAAAGGCGAGTCGATCAATTATCTAGGGTATGTTCAAGTTGAAATCACGCTCCTTACCTTTCTTCTCTCTGCCCTTCTACACAAAAGAATTTCCGCTTGAGCACTTTATTTCAGATATATATTCAATAGGAAGAAGTATCCAAGGGTATCAACAAGTCGTGCAACTACCAAAGTAGTTAGAAAAGCATTCAATAGCTAACATAGGGTATATACTATTCGAGCAACGATCCCAAAACCTTATAACAGGTAAAGCCAAGTAGATTTTACAGGGTATTTACTAGTCCATCATCCGCTTTAACTGCGTTCTTTGCCTTTTTCTATTTATGGGCAATATTATTTGCCCCATAAATCGGTTTTAGCGAATGGCGGAAAATAACTTTTGACGTCGAATTGTAAAGTCCATTAAAATTGAGTGCGTTTTCAAATTGAATTTTTTTCCATAGTTTTTTTTCCACATGGTTGACAGTCGTGAATTTATAAATGCTGCTCTTTGTTTATATAAATTGCATTGCGTACAGAGTAAAGTCAATTCGTATAGATTTAATTTTAAATAGTTAAAGAATGCATTTAAAATAAGCTTTAAACGGATTAAAAGCTTTTGCACGCAGTTTTCATTGTCGATTAATCAAGAATATTCATCCCTCAATGAGCTTTTAGTAATGCTGCTTTTTGTTTAAATAAATTTGCTTTGCGTACAAAGTAAAGTCAATTTGTATAGGCTGAATTCTTAATAGTTAAATGAAGCATGCTTTAAAAATAAGCTTACAATGGCTTTAAAGCTTTTTATATGATATGCAAACAGCTTTCATTGTCGAGTAATCAAGAATGTTCATCCCTCAATGATGTTTTATTATCAATTTGTATAGACTGAATTCTTAATAGTTAAATGAAGCATGCTTTAAAAATAAGCTTTAATGGCTTAAAAGCTTTTATTTATGCAGCTTTTAGCAATCAAGAATATTCATCCCTCAATGAGCTTTTATCGGCGGATTTTTAAATTTCTTTAAACATACTTAAAGCACAATCTTGAAGCTTAAAGCTCATCTAACTGTAAGCTCTTAAAGCTCTTTGCTGTGCGGCAATTGTCTTGAGTTTATGTTAAAGCGATTGCTTTGTGAGAAACTTAATATTGTTTGCCAATTGGCATTAAAATTATGCTAAAACCGACTAAAAATAGCTTTGGCCTTTGGTATCTTGTTTTCCTATTTGGTTTTTTTTGCAATGCAAATGCTCTCGATTTCCCGGGAATTGTCAATGCAACAATCTGCATAAATTAAATCAAAAGCAGCATTCGAATAAGCTCGTGAGCTTGAGACCGTTTTGCCTGGGAGGGTTCGGGCGGGGAAAAGTTTAGTAATGCACACTAGAAAAGCCTCACAGCTATGGGACTACCAATACAAAAACAAACACAAGCACGGGATGCACACGCTGGGCAGAGAAGGAGGCGCAGGATTTGGAGGAGCAACCTAGCAGCAGGGCGAGGCATTCATTTCCTGGCGTGTTTACATGTGCGTATGAGCAGGGCTTGTTGTGGCTTAGTTGAGTGTGTCCGACTGGCAGATGCTCTGCAAAAATCTTCAAGAGAAATCCCCAATTGTTTATGCTTTAAATCTTACAAGTTACGGGATATGCTCATAAAAAGGAGCTTGGTCGAAATAGTCTCGATAGAGAAACTTATATTAGCATATAGCCTTGAAAGATGCCTTTATCTATCTGTTTTCCAAGGTGTACAGGGTATAAAAATGGAAAAAAGTCTAGAATAACGAAAGCATGTTTGTTCAGCACTTTGGCAACAGCCACAGCTTAAACCCGTGTGCTCAAAGCTTGTTTCTTCACCAAATCTGCTTGTCAGGATTCTGTGGAAATGGGGCTGTGCCTGTGGCATTGGCTGCGCGGCTGCTTGGTGCGTTTTGTCCTTGCCAGATAAGGCGGCAAGCTCTAAAAAGTGGGCGGGCATCGGGCGTCGGGCGGGGCTTCAATGTCAAGCGTCGAGCGAGTGCCGCCCGCTACTTAGTTTTTGCTTTAGATTCTCTTTCTAAACCAAAGGTATTAGGGTATTCTAATTTTGACACAAGTTGTGTTACGCACAAAAGGTGGCAACTCCGACTTTATTCAGCATGTAAATTTAACAGCCAACTCGCTAAAGCCTTTTCTGTCTCTTTCTGTCTCTTTTGTGTGACTGTCAATGATAATTAACCTTTCCAATTTTGATCTCTTCGCATATTTCGGCTGCAGGCTGCGGCCACAGAGCGAGCTCTGTAAATGCTAAGACTGAGGGGAGGGGGGTAAATTCATATAACTACTGCGTTCACGCTATTGGTCGTAATGCCTGCGATCCCGTTACCGCAGTCTTGTACTCAGCAGAAAGCGCTTACGCGAGAAGAGAACATTGTCAATGTTGTGAGCGCAGGAGTCTTAAAAGTTGCGTGCTCTTTTTTTATGTATTTGTATTAGTGCGAATGCCGGCCTAGCGTAGGCGCGAGCCTAATTAGGAGTTTTAGTCTGTGCGCGTCTGTCCTGTGGATCGGTTGCTTCCTCTGCGCGTGTGTATTAAATCGCTTTGTTTGTTTTTTTTTTTAAGTTTAATTTTCTAAATGGTTTTAAATGTGTTCAGATCGTGATGCTTGTGCTTGCAACGTGTCATTAGTTTGTCTTCTATTTGTTGGAATATACATATGTAAAAGTCGTTTTGTTTGTGGCGCGAAATTTTTCTAATAAGAGCAAATTGGCGCGCAAAACTATCCAGAGAGAGAGAGAGAAAGAGAGAGTGAAAGACAGAGTGACAACGAGAGAGTCTTATAAAGCTTTTCTTAAAGGCAACTATTCAGAGAGAGAAGAGAGTGAGGTGAAATACAGACAGCTTGAGAACGAGCGAGTCCAATGAAGCTCTCTAAGTAAAACTGTGGTGTTGTATAAGTCTATGTATATATTTCCTAACGATCTCTTATACACTTCATGGTAAACCTTCCTTTTAAAGGTCCCTTTTACTTTAATGACGAGCAGAAAAAAGGGTTTTCTGTATTAAAATATAGCGTATACTTGTTCTCCGTTAAGGGTATTTAATCTTCGGTGTCATTTAGCTTACTGTATTTTCTTGTAGTTTTTTCTTCTGCCCGCAGCCATTGAGCCCTTTTGGGCCACAAGTTCGACTTGTTCGACTGTTGCCTAGCAACGCTTTAAAGCCAACATTTGCATTTGGCTTTCTCCATTGAGCAGGCACTTGACCTCAGCCAATGCAGCACGGGCCTGCCCTGCAGGTGGGCCATGCACATTGACGTTGACGTTCACTGTTCGACGGCACTGTATAGTTACACACACACACTAACACACTTACACACTCTTATACACATAGAATGAGAGGCATGCCTCATATTGTGACATGCACATCCCATTGAGACTTCCTGCCGAGGCGAGCCTGGCGAAAAACAAGCGGAAATTATAAGCCTTTTCAGCGGCGCTCGAGCGTATGGCAAATATGACGGCACACACGCACACACACACGCACACACGCATACACATTACATATGTGTCAGACCGTGTCATTCGCATGACTATTTCAATGTTTGCGCTGCATATTTGCACGTACAGCAGGTGAGTTGCCCTCATTTTGTCTCAGTTGCAACACGTTGCGCGTAATGTACATTATCTGCTCGTAAATCATTATTAAGGGTAGTCCCGCACACACGCACACACACTCACACTTGCTAGATTTTTGTACTCTAATCACAGAGCAAGCAAACTAATTGTTTTGCTTTGTTTGGCGTCCATAAGCTGCCTGTTACTTAACAGAATGTCAAAGGTCAACTGGGTAAATATGTGTCAATAATGTAATGGCTTACAAGTTGCCAAACAAAGTGCAAGCTAACAATGAGCGCCAGAGCTAAGTTTCTGTAGTTGGTCTAAGGAAAGTTTCAAATTTTGAGGCTAAGCCAACGGGAAAAATAAGACTCAAATGCCAAAAGTTATAAGTGTCTAGCTGAAGTAGCTTTAAGGAAACATCTTGTGCAACAGAATTGTTCTGAAGGGACGCAGCGAAACACATGCAGATCGATATTTATCGATGACAAAACTTTAAGAAGCTATTGGAAAAATTGTCTATCGATGAAAAGCTTAAGAAAACTTTTGGAAAGCTACTTGTTTTGACTAGGTAGACTAGAAGAAATAACGTCGCGTTTAATAAACAAAGGTAAAAATACAAAAATTGCTTGATTTGAGCCGGCGACCTTCCGCTTGTTGGTTCGACGCTCAGACGCATACACAGGCTCATGACGAAGAGCTTGAACAAAATAAGAAGCTATTGGTAAACTACTGGGAGTCCCTTCAAAATACCAAAAGAAATTACCCGGCGTCGCGCGGCTCCAAGTAATTGTGTTCAATATGCAAGTGGTTCCGTCCATGCATTCGCCCCAAATCAATTAAATCTAAGGAAATATGTTAATTATTGTTAAAATCTATACATTTTCATTCATTTCTTCCAAGCCTATGTCATATTAAAGCAAATTTGGTGCAGAATTTGAGTCGGCGACCTCTAACTTGCTAGTTCGACGCTCAGGCAAATGGAATAATTTAATAATTGTTGCCTCATATAGAGCCTGCGTTTACCTTAGAATAGTGAACTTGAAAATGTTCGTTTTACAAGAAAAGTGTTTCAGGAAAAAGTAAAATACTTAAAACTTAAATTACTTTTTGTTGCTAACTTTTCTTAGTTTCCCGTAAAAGTTTTCACGGCACCGCAAAATGTTTCATTAATTACTGTTGCAACTTTGCGGCTTCAATAATTGATGCAATTATGGAATATGTGGCAAAGCTTGTGTGTTGACAGTAAATACCTTTTGGCATAATAGATATTCAGTACTTTAGCATTTTGGCATTTTGGCCACATGATAATTGCATTATGGCCCCAAAAACCGAACACGTGGCAACCGCAATTGATTGCGATTCTAGCGGCCAGCTGCAGGTGCCTAAGCTTGACCTCAACTGTGGTCAGTTGCTGTGCGGCTCTGCCGGAAAGTTGCTGCAACTTGACCCCGAAGTGACATTGCTGCCACACTCGCCACACTTGCCACACACGACACTTGAGGCAGGTCGATTCGTTTGTTTTCACAGTCGAATAAATTGAAAATGTGCACAAAGAGTTCTTTTGGCTTTCCACTTTCTTCCTCGCTCCCACCTATATTTGCATTAGTGTCCGATGCACTGAGATGTGCAATCAGTTTGCTTCGTTTCGCCTAACTTATTCCTGCTGGTTGCTCTAGCTGCTTCTCTATATACCCTGTATCTGTTTGAAACGGGCATTTTGGTTTGGCTAGCAGCACAAGCACTTCTGACAATCTGACAAATCTCGTTTGTCTGTTATAGTGTATAGCTTACAGCATCTTCCCTCTAACCTTACCAAAATGGCATAAACTAATTAAAGAGAAATACTTTTCATTCAAACACATTTACGCTTTATCTGCGAGCACTTAAAAGTTCATAACGATCGCAGAATTAAAGTCGAAAGTTATTCAAGAATCAAAAATCCATATGCTATGCTACGCATCTGGCGGCGTACAGGGTATATTTAAGTCAACCACACTCGCTCTATATTTTTTTCTGTGCATCCCTTGGCAATTTGGTGATTGCACGCGTCGTGTAACAGAAAGTACAGGGGGCGGTGGGGGGGTCGGGGGGTCAGCAAGTAGTCACTTTCGCTGGCCGGAAATGTGTAAAAAGAAAGTAGATAGAAATGAGAACGCACGAATGTCATTTTGGCGTGTCAGCTTAGCATTTGGCATCAATCTGGCCAAAATGTTGCTGCTGTGCAGCCCTTTTCTTGTTCATGCAAATTTAAGCCCACTTTTAGACCCACCCCCCCTTGCTAGTACCCCCCAGCACACAACTGGGCTTGAACAACTGGGCGTATGCGTAATTTAATCTTTAAGGCAAAGCAGCTAAAGCTGCTCGCTTACCTGATTCCCAAAGACGCCAACGCTGGTGGCGGATGACACCTGATCGGGTCCGAACCAGACGGCAGCCAAACGCGCGGGTAGCGACAATATGCACACCTGTTCGCATGAATACAGCTCGTGATATTTTAATTAGCTGAAAGTGTTTGCTGGTCTATTTACCTGGGCAAGCGCCACAATTGACTGTCCTATGAAGCTGACATAGAAGAGCGACGGATCCACCGAAAATACCTTTATCCAGGCGCCTATGCAGGTGCCCACAATGCCAACGAGTGCCGTTATGCGCAGACCCTGATCAAAACCAAAATGCCAAACCATTAAAATAAAATCAAGAATTATTTACCTGCGCACCACTCACCACTTTGTCGAGGAACCAGCTGCCCGGAAATATGAGCGGTATATACAATATCATATAAATCATGGACGTCCAGTCCACCCACTTGTCACTGATGCCATAATAGCTGCATTGGCGAAACATAAAAATGCCAAATAAATATACTTTGCGACGGCCGACAGGTGAGCAGAGCACCATGCACCTGGCTGGGTGTAGACTTTGCAACTTTTAATTAAATAAAACCAGCTTTAAACTAAGCCCCCTTTTTGAGTTAAGCGCACGCAAAATCGCATTTGAGGCAACTGCTCGAAAATCCTGCACCACCCAGCACCATCCTGCACCACTCCAAGGACTCCAAGCACTTACCGTGTTATTATATTGTTGATGATGGTGTATTGTATCCATTGCATGGCATTCGAGGCTGAATAGAATACAAAGAGTATGAGCACCGCCCAGCGACGCGCATAGACTTTGTAACCTGAAAGAAAAGCAAATAAGTAAGCAGATACATTTATATATGTATCTATATAGAGTATGCATAGTTAGCAGCCACTCGAGCTGAGCCTCTGCATATAATATACATAGTATATACGATTAACTGGATTAGTTGCTTAGTTCCTTATAGAATCAACTGTCGTAAAGTATCCTTTTATATACAACAGGTATATGCTACCTGTTAGTTCGCAAAGGTTGACAGCGCCAGCAGGTGTCTAAAGGTTTTATTACCCTTCCTGAGAGTATTTTAACTTTGTAACGCTTTAATTTAACAAAAGTCTGCCGAAATAGATTGTTTTATACTACAGATCGATATTTTAGTTATTCGTAAGCATTCTCAATATTTAAATCTTGTATTCATTAGTTTAAAACAGGCATTTGGTTTGCATTGTACATTGCTAGTTTGAAGGCAATTGGGCTTTTCTATTTATACAATTTGCCATTATAACTATTATGCCAATCGAAAACGTTGGAACTAAAACGACAATAGTGCACATACCCTGCATAACAAACTCAAAAGGGTATGTAACAGAGGGGTGGAGGGTATGCATTAAATGCCATATCCAACTTTAAGAGAACACGATCGACTTATGAATTGCTTAATTAGTATAAGTTATATATTTAACAGATATATCTTCGTACTATATAAGAGCTTGTAATGCTAGAATTTTAAATCTTAATCTTCAATCTTAAACTTCCTAAAAATGTGCATTTACTGCAAGTCAAAAAAGAATCAAAAGCCTTTACAGCATGTAAATATTATAAAATATTATAAAGAGACTAATTTATTAAGCAAGATTTTCATAAATAATGATCTACGCTGTAATGCATTAGCTGCTTATAGGGCATCAGATAGTCGTTCATTGGCTCTTTACCATTTTTAGTTGTTTGGCATTGAAAGTGCAAGAAAAAGAAACGCTTTTGATGTTTTTTATTTATAGTTGACAACACACACACACACATGCACATGGCCATACATAATACATACATACACAAACACACTTGCACACACACACATACATGTTCGCATGCACACATATTAGATGCGTTGCACGCAAATCAGAGAATGCAAACAAAGCGATTGCATACCTTGAGGTGCAGTTAAGTCAAAATGGCCGCTTTGTATGCATGTGTGTGTGTGTGTATAAAGTGTTTTGCATATAAATGTTTAGCTACACACACACACACACACACATCTGTTGAGCGTCGTAAATGGCCCAAAAGATTTGTGTGGTAGCCGTGACAGGAATTGCATTGCATGTTAACCAAGCAGATAACATCCGAATAGATAATTACGCTTACGTGAGCTCTATAAACGCCTTTCTAAACTTTCAGAGGGTATTATAACATTTTCTCGAGCTGTGGAGTGTGGCAATTCTTGATCTGTGTCGATAGCCGAGTCCGTAAAGCCTTGTCAGGGCGTTCCTCTCTCTCTCTCTCTCTTTCCGCCTGTCTGCTTCAGTCTGTCTACACTTTGTAGCCAAGGAGCGAGCTCTGTAAATGCTACGACTGTGGGGAGGGGGGTAAACTCATATAGCTACTGCGTTCACGCTATTGGCCGGAACGCTTTCGATCCCGTTAGCTTAGTCGTGTACTCAGCAGAGAGTGCTAACGCGCGAAGAGAGCATTGTCAATGATGTGAGCGCAGTTTTAAAAGTTGCATACTCTTTGTTGCATTTGTATTAGTGCAAGAGCCGGCTCGGCGTAGGCGCGCACATAATGAGGAGTTTTAGTCTGTGCGCGTCAGTCCTGGCGATCGGTTATTTATTCTGTGCGTGTGTATAAAATCGCTTTGTTACAAAATAAAATCAACTTAGGTTTAAATTAACGAATACTTTGGTTATTTGTCTGCGTTCGCAAAGTGTTATTTATCTTGTTTATCTAATTGAATGTGCATAAAACAACATCAATGCAATTTTGGTTAATTTTAGTGCTGAGCTGTTTCACTCAACGGGAAAAATGGCGCGCATTTGCACATAATGCAGAGAGCGAGAGAGAGACAGCAAAAGAGAGCGAGAGCGATAGAAAAGAAGAGCGTGCTGTCTTAAATAAGGGAGTTGGTTAAAGCTTTCTTGAGCGGGTAAGTGTAATTACTTATATATATTCACAGCTATAAAAGTTTTACGAGAAAACTTTGCATAGATTCGACTAATTACTGCAGGCTTGTAAAGGCCAGGGTATTCAATCTTCGGCGTGCCGAAGCTAACTCTCTTTTTTCATTCAGTTTAAAACTAACCTTCAGCTGGCGCATTGGCCAATTTGTTGTTTTCTTTGCTCTCCTTGTCCTTGGGCGTGATCATGTCCGTTGACTTGCTGCTGGCTATATATGAATCGGCGCTCTCGACGGCGCCGCTGGCGCTGTGCTTCAGATCCATTAGGATATATATATATATATATCAATATATATTTGTGTATATAAATTGGCTTCTGATTTTGGGCGGTTGTTTTGTGTGGCCTTGGCTCGCTGATAGTTCGGTGGTCTCGTTGAATATCTACTGTACTTTAATTGGGCAGTTTGTTTGGTTGATAAAATTCTTTGTAATTGCTGAATAATTGAATAAACAGAAGAAGACCAGAATCTTAGTCAAGTGTATTAAACGTAAAGCCTACAAGTAGGCAATAATCATATTACAGCATTTTTATATGCCGCAGCTTTGCGCTGGGAAATTGTTGAAACTCTTTAGCAGCAACACACACACACACACACACACACACACACACACACACATACACACATTTATATGCCCCAAAATACGCTCATATGTGTGCTACACGTTTGCGGCGAACCTAACAACTGGCATAAACATTTCTTGTAGCCCGCACAAAACCAACTTAATGCGAATTCACATTCCCATTACTCCACCAGCCCCCCCCCCCCCCCCCCCCCCCCTCTGCATCGTCTGGCACACCTGGCTGCTGTTTTTTACTAACCAGACATAATATTATTGCTTGGTTTTATATGCCCTGTTTTTGTGCAGCTTAAATTTAAAAAAGACAAAGCTTTTAACAACTAAGAGTTGCATTTTTCTCTTAAATATAACACAAAGTTGCTATTTAAGGATTTTAAGAAAGAATATATTTATTTAAATGCCTCCTGGAAAATATCCTTTTAATTTTAAGTTGATTTTACTTAATACAGGGCATCTCGCAGTCGAGCACAATGAACCTAAAGCTCTTATAATTTGTACTGTTGCGCTTTAATGTATGGTCACACTCTTTTTGCCATTAGACAAATAGCTTTTGCATACGAAATCAATTGAAACAAGTCTGTCTTATACGGCAGTGCAGCCGACTAGCAGATACACTATACGATTCTAGCTGCCTTGCATACATCATTACATACATTAATACAAAAACATATAACCAATTTCTGCACACTGTGCGTAGCGGCTGCGCTTCTTCTTCTATTTAGCTATATTTATACTGCGTGCAATGCATTCTTGGGAAATTTTTCGATACTATTCTTGGCGTATACAATGCGAAATTTAGTTTTGGGAAATTTGTCGATATTGCCTTGGGACATTTTTCTTGTTCTTGATTTTCGCTTTGTCTTATACTGTTGGTAATGCATTCCTGGGGAAATATTCTATTTTATTGTTCTTTACTTTGTCTGATGATAAGGGAAATTTATTGTTGGGAAATCTTTGATACCTAATTTGGTACTAAAATGTGAGTATATACCAAAAAACGAGATTAAGTACCCAAAAAGTGAAATATTCTTAAGCGTTGCAGACTGTAGGGAAATTCCATATCGATCCAGATATCGATCGATATATATCTGTTACAAACATTTACACAAAACCAATATGCCTTTATTGCACACTTGCAACGGGTTCGGGTTGTAGAAATGATTAAGCGCGATTACATTTGTAATTGATTCATTAGGCTATTAAAGGGCCATTCAGTTGCATTCGCTTTTAAATTCACATTTATTCAAATAGCATTCATTGTGGCTTTTGTGCTTTGACATTGAATTTGCGAGCAACATAAACGAACCCATTGAATCAAATCAGCGCCTGGGAGATTTGACTGCGGATTTGCGAAATGCGATTGCAATGCAATTAGCTAGGGGGGGGGGGGGGGGGGCGGTGTGGGGGGTGTCTTTTGGTAGGGGTTGCACGTGTCCACTTGTTGCACCCGAAAAGCCAATCAAAATTTCAGCTTGACTAGCTCGAGCAATGGATTTGCCTAGGATGATTTGATAGCATTTTTTTCGATGCATTATTTGGCACACACACACACACACACGCACACACACACAGAGAATGTTGGCTTGAATTTTAATGGAACTGCATTTGGAGGGAACTTTTTGTATGGCTTTGGCACAGTTTTGCCAAAGTTTTCCCCGCCCATAATTAAATCTATGGCCGTGCGCGTGCCACACTGAAAACCCGCTGCAGGCCCTAATTGATTTAACTTTGTTAACGACGGCACTTAAATTAATTTGCCTGCACGACAACATCAACAACAACAACAATTCGAGTGGCATGCTTCGCGTTTTTATACCCTGCAACACTTAAAAGCGTGTAAAAAAGAAAGGGTACAATCAAGTGCGGTAAGTGCAGGCAACAAGACAAGGGAAGGCATTTCGGAACCTATAAGTTACTCTTACAGATAAGAGATATATTATAAATATAAATACATTCGTTCCAAATGTATCTTTCGCTTCTGTCTGTTCAAATAAGTCTCGGATAATATAAGATGGGCTATAGACTTATTATATGGAATATATATTTCATATATTCAGTTTTAGTTTTTTCTCGAAAACTAACGATGAAAATTATCTGCCTAGTTTCTTTTAAAGGTAATATTTTACTTTTGAAATGCCTTTTTCCATAAATACATAATCCTTTAATGATTCAAAATCTATATAAAAAAAAACAGGCAAGTTCTTTTTGAAAAAAATTTGTCAAAAGAATGTGAGCAGGTACATTTATTTGAGAAAGAGTTGCCTTTAATGATTCTGTTCGCATTTACAGGGTATACGCGCGTCGCGCACTCTTACCTAGCGCAGTCTTAGTTATTTTGATAATTTGTTTTTTTTTTATTTTTGCTCGGCCTGCGTAAATTGCCTTTAATGAGGTTTGGGCGATTGCAGAATGTTTGTTATGTGCATGTCATTTGGGGTTCTAATGCGATTGTGATTTGTTTTCGAGCAGCTCTAATGGGCCCTACGGAGCGAGATTTTCCCGAAGCTACGCCAACTTTTGGCTAAGCTCTGTGTAAACTGATTGGAAATATTGTTTTGGCTGATTGTAAAGCGTTGTGAGGGCGAGAGACCAGCTGAGAGGTGGAACCAAACATGATAAAAACACGAAAATAAACAGAGCCAGATACAGAAACAGAAACAGAAACAACAAGAAGAAGAGGAAGAACAAGCATGCGATGAGTGGAACGCGCGATAACAGCGAGACGAAGAACTAAAATACCTTCTCATGGTCTTACAACAGCAACAAAAATTGTATAAAAAAAAAACGAAAAGAGTATAAAACAAATGTACACACGATCAGCTATATGCGACTGGAGTGCAGCCATGCGGGGGAGTTCTTTTTATTATGATTACCCATGCAAAGTTGAATTTAGAGAAAAACGCGCACGTACTATTCGAAATAGATATGTTTAGTATATAAATAATCAACAGAGAGACTGTGTAAAAACTTAAGGTAGGTTAAACCACGCGTCTGCCGATTCAATCGAACGTGCGAAAACTTTGATAATATATATATATATATTGTATATATTGTATGTATGAGTCGGAATCGGGGGAGACGGCAACGTTTTGAGAGCGCGAACGCGGGCCAACTGAAACTGAAACTAAATCCGAAAAAGTCGCTCAGCGCTTGTCATAAAGTTGATTTTGCAAAATGTTATTGTTGTTGTTGTTCTTCTTCGTGTTGTTGTTATTATTGTAAACAGCTGATTCTTCGAGCAGACATACTAACTACACACAACGCACACTCGCACAGTCGCTCGCACACACACTCGCACACACACTCGCACACTTGCTGTTACAGTGCGCGTGACAAGGTAAACAACTAATTATTAATTAAACATGTTACTGCGTTTTTTTTTTTAAAATTATTTGTATAAACATTATGGTTGATTGTTTAAAAATTTAAATGGCTCGTTGTAAACAATATAAACAAATTATTTCTGAGGCTCAGCTCAGCAATTGCAGCACGTGCATAATTAATTCAACTTTAAAAAAAAGATTTTAAAGCTTCAAGTGATACGTAAGAGAACTCAAGTCCCAAAGTTCCATATTTACACGTACTTACTTCCAAGCAATTTATGCTTACTCTAAAAAAAACAAGAAATCAATTTTATGTTATATCTTTAAATGCAGTTGCACATGAAACGCAAGCTTTAAGGCCCCACCTGAGCTTTAATGTAAATAAATAAATGAATTGGTTTGCATTCAAAGCTTAAAGCTCGTAATTAGTATAACAGTATATGTTGAAGCTTTTAAGCTTTAAGTGCACTTAATTGGCAGCACTTAATGCAATAAATCTCTCTCCCACAAAAACCTTTTAAGCTTTAAGTGCAATTAATTGCATGTGCTCAATGCAATTAATCTTGTCAGCTTCATTTTCAATGCAAATATGTATTGTTCTTAAGCTCGTGCGCATACTTTTCGCACGCACTGTGCCAGCATTGCGTTGTCCACTTATATATCATATATGTAGATTAACTGTAGTAGCGACCCTCAATGCGGGACGTATTCCCGTTATTGTCTGCCGCTGCAAGTGCGCATACAGTGAGGCCAGCCTGGTGCGAATCCAGTCTAAACTAAATGGCAGCACGTTGCACTTAGGCAGCGCCCACTGTAGAACACATTCGTCGATTCATGCGCCCATCTAATTGCAGCTGTAAAACATTTTTAACTCATTTGCTTTGTTTTTGCCTCTCGTATACCTTGCATTATCGCACTTTCTTTAGCCGCAAATTCGTCAGACTGCAAACACGTGTCGCTGCCAGGCCACGAACCCTTTCACAGCTCCCCCTCTCCCCCACTCTCTCCCTATCTCCCTCTCGCTGCCGCTCCATAATTTATTTGATTTGTTTTTCTGTTGTTTATTGAATAATTTGACTGTGGCAACTTCCTCGACTCGACTCGACTCGTTGCCGCACAGCCAGACAATGTCCAAATCCGAAAACCCAATCCGAAATCCAGCTGCTTTTTATGTCCAAGTGGTTGGGGGTCATTATTCGATTAAGGCAAATTATTATTTTTTATTATTTATAATGCAAATCATACTCTGTCGGGCAGCAGGGCAAGGGGGAGGGCGGGGGGCACCCACTTTCATTTGGCCGTGTGTACGACACTCATCTCCCACCCTCCCCCGCCCCCTCGCTGACCCTCGTCCTGTTTATCTACTCATGAGCCAAAAGCTAATCAACGTGTACTTTGTATGTAGGCTGACCCACGCGAAATTTCTCGCACGATTCTCTGGCGAAAGATAATGAAATCGGGCGGCGACAGCTGATAAAGCCATACAATTGTATAGCTCCCCTCTGTTTCTACTTAGTCATTATTGGGCCATTATAGATATTATTAGCATGTATTATATATTGTTAGGCAACTCGTTCAGTAGCCAGGCAAGCGTGAATCCCCCCCATCTAAAATAGTCACGTTTTGTTTAAGTATATAGAGACTTTACATACACTTCCCGTATGTGATTCGATTGGAGACTTCTCGTTAATTTGACTCAATAATTATATGTCTATTAAAAGATACCTGACTCAACCTGTCTGGTAAGTCCCATAACTAATCCAAACTATTTCAAGGTACTTGCCATGCAAATCGTTTACAGCTATTTATATAAGTTGCGACAAGTTAATCCCACACACAGATATAATAATATATATGTATGTATATCAGGTTGTTCTGGCAAGTCAGACCTCGGCATTGAAAAGGGCCTTGTTAAGTTAAAGTCAACGTCAAGGCTGTTGTGAAGTGTGAAGAGAGTTTTTCTAGACCAATCCACAATTTTGCCTAGTTAATATGGAATACCATACTTTAAAACTATCTTATACGCAAAGCTTATCAAAATCGAAACGTATTCAAAAATAATTTCAAATATCATCTAAATATTGAAAGACTGCATGCAATAATATTTTTATTATTTACAATGTAGTTCAAAAAAGAGGTATAATATTTACTAAAAAAATGACATGAAACTTTTATAATTTCAAAACTTGACAAATTTTTAAGGCAGAATCTAATTCAACGAAAAATCATTCTAATAATATTAATGATATTAATAATGACAATAGTGAAAGTAATAAAAATAACAATCATTATAATACTAATAATAAGAATAATTGTTATAGTTATAATACTATTGTTAATGATAACGAATTTATAATTTAAATATTAGTATTAGCATCTTCTTCACCAGCAATATTCTTCTTCTTCTTATTAATTTATCGTCGATGAATTCTCATCTCAGTAATGAACAGCTAATAATTGGGTGACAGCTACTTGAGAGCTATATCTATGCCAACTCATCAAACTATATATTGCTGCTAATACAAAGTAACTATATTGTTGATATCACAATTCAGATAGTGAGCATATATATATATATATATATATTTTAAGCGTTAGGGCCTCTTCTGCAGGTGTTTCATGGTTGAGATTGCGGCCGCAGCTGAGTATGCCTAATGGTCTCTAAGTGTGTGTGTGTGTGTGTGTGTGTGTGTGTGTGTTTGTGTGTGTGGCATCAACTGGTAATCATTTTAATGTTTACAAAAAGAGCCCCCCCCACAGCCGCGACTGCCCCCGCAGCTGGCATACAGCCACTCATTAGGCGAGCGGGGAGCACAAAGCGGGCCTCCTGATTGCCACATTTCTCATGCACTTGCCACTTGCCGCTTGCCACTTTCCGCTGGCCAAGGGTCGAGTGCTGCAGCGCTTTGTTCTCGATTTCAATCTCACATGAATTCCAAATGCAATTTGTCGCTGCGTCGAGCCCGCCAGCCAATTGGACTTGGATGCGGATGTGGATTAGCCAGCGCCCAATTAGCCGCGACTTGCCAGTGGCCAGTTGCCAGTTGCCAGCGGCCTTTAAGGCTTCAGCTGCAGCTGTTGGCCTTAAACTGTTGCTCAAATATTAATGCCAACAATTTGTTCAAATGGCCTTTTTTCCCATTTAGCCTCAGCCGGAGTATTACATTAAGCCGGGCATTTAATCAAAACGTGTGAATCGACCGCCTCAAGCGCGTCCTCCTCGGTGCAAAAGTTAAGTGGATATTTCTTTCATCAAATGCAAGGCCACAGAAATAAAAACACAACATTATGAGCGTCTGTATTTATATAAATAAATATCATTAGAAATTAAGGTGTTTGCTTTACAATACTCTGCACACACAAGATGGGCAAAGTGTTGCTTGATTTGGCGGCAATAAATAGACTTAAATTAAGGAAAAATATGCTTTTTACAAGAAATTGCACGCTTGAAGCAAGTACAAGCAATATATTCTTTATGTTAAGCCTATATATCTTTTATAGATATGCCTCTATATCTATCTGAGTCTTATTTTGAGAAATTTGGGGTATTACAAAGAAGTTCTTGAGCGAAGAATATGTCGGTTTTTATCTGGGATAAATAAGGCATTTGAGAGTTCTTCATAGAAAAGTTCTGTCATGTTAAGCCTACATATCTTGTATAGATATCTATATCTAAATCGTATTTTGCGAAAACTTTGGCTATAACAAAGAAGTTTTTCAGCTTAAAATAAGTCCTAATCTAGGAACTTAGGGATCTATAACATGTTCTTCACACAAGAAATAGTTTTTATCTTGCATAAATAAGGATTTAAAGAGTTCCTCAAAGGAAGTTCTGGGAAGCCTACATATCTTGCATAGAGGCATATATCTGAGTCTTATTCCGAGGAACTTGGAGGATTACAAAGACGAAAGAAACTTAAGGATCTATTAAATGTTCTACACACAAGAAAATATTTATATCTGGGATAAATAAGGCATAAAAGAGTTCTTCAAAGGAAAGTTCTATCATGTTAAGCCTACATATCTTGTATAGAGATCTATATCTAAATCGTACTTTGCGAAAACTTTGGCTATTACAAAGAAGTTTTTCAGCCTTAAATAAGTCCTAATCTAGGAACTTAGGGATCTATAACATGTTCTTCATACAAAAAATGGTTTTTATCTTGCATTAAAGAGTTATTCAAAGGTTGTTCTGGGCAGCACAGGATCATACAGGATCAAAGAGTGTCTTGTCTATCGACTTGAATACAGGGTATCTGTCGAATAGATAAGTTCTACTATGCAACTTGTTTGAGTCGTCTCGTTAATGGCACTCGGGAGCTGTTGCTGGCGGCGGCGGCTGTGTAATTCCGATTGCGATTACCGCGGCACGCATTTGTCGCGGGACACTTAAGCCGCAGCAAATCGCGTAATTATGGGCGAGACGTCCTCCTAAGTACCACATCATTTCCGCAACATTTATTTATTAATTAAAAAATTTGTGTGCAGGCGCTTTATCTGGGCTCTCAGGCTTTCGCTGGGAATTAAGCCAGATTAATTGCCATACATTTCATTTAATTTGTGCAAAGTTTTTTCTTCTCGTAGCACACACTTTTGCGCGCCGCAATTCTCTGATTCTCTGATTCTCTAATTCTCAGTTTCTCCAATTATCAGGCAAGTTTCGACACAGCAGGCGTCGCCGCAGAGTTTGTCCTTTTTATACCCTGAACCCATTAAAAATGGGAATAAGGGTATATTGTATTTGTGAGAAAGCCAAATGTATGTAACA